ATATGATCTTAGCAACTGATGCAGAAAAGTAATTTGACAAAATCCAACACCACTTCCTGTTAAAGACACTGAGCAAAATTGGAATAAAAGGGAATTTCTTCAACATAGTGAAAAGTATGTATGCAAAGCCGAGAGCCAGCATCCTTCTCAATGGAGAAAGACTACTATTAGCTTTTGTAGATCAACTAGCCTTAAGTTTTCTCATTCATTTCCCTAGGATCAGAAATATTCATAGTTGACCCTTCAGAGGGTTTTCTAAGATTGTGAATTGCATGGGAGGAGATTGCCCCTATTTCTCCTTCAAAGGTGCTAGTGGATTCAAATTGCTGACCTTTAGGTTGACAGTGCAACTCCTTACCCAGTAGGCCAGTCCATTCTAAAATTAGAAGGAGAGTCTCTCTATATCTGGAATGATTTTAAGTTGCATGAAGTTCTGGTTTAATCCATTATTCTTTGCAACATGTACAACAATGAGGATAGAGAATGGCATTAAACTGAATAATTCACAGTGGCATCACAAAACATTAAAGAACCAAACCCAAAATACACAAATAAACAAAGAGGAATTATGCATCTTCAGAGACAGATTATATTCACATTGGAAACATTATTTGGGAAACCAGTAAAGACAGCGCTACTTGTGGAGATGAAAGAGGAGGTAGCTGACCACTCTCCTCGAACAAAGAGTACAGTGAAATCTATTTTCTTCTCCATTTGGTCTCATATTCTAGTGACATTTTCATCTTTTATTAGGGAAAATATATATTTACTTACATACCTGTTTATTTTTTTTTCTTCCCTATCCTTTACTTTTATGTCTGTTAACCCACCCAGGATTGATTCTTTCTGTGTGTAAACAGTTTCTTAGGTTTTTTTGTATTAGTATTCTTATAAAATAATTAAATAATTATTCTTTTGAGACTGACTTATGTTACTAAACCTAAATGATTCTCATTTTACATGTTGTGCAGTTATTCTTTAATTCATGTTCATTTTTTAGTGATGCATAATAAGGTTGGCAAGAGATAGAGCAGGGTTTAGGGCTGTTGTACATAGGGTCGTTATGAGACACAAGCAACTTGATGGCATATAACAACAACAACAATGTTTAAATATGCCATAATTGTTTATTTAACATTTCATTGTTAATGGATTTATTGCCTTCTTAGATGCTTGAATTAGGCACTTTGAAAACACACATTATGCCTTGTAACATACTAGAAAGTATTAAGCATTCAATTACTGACTAAAATTATATTAAAGAGTATAGATCTTAGACTTAATTTCCACTTAGCAAACATAAAATTTAGCGGAGATGTAAATACAAAAGAAACACTAGGAAAATAATTATAAATCTTCATTAAAAATTACAGAATATGATTATTTAGCATTTATCTGTTAACATTCAGCTTGAATGTCTGATAGATCTCTATGTTCTGTTCTAGGTGACTTTGAATAATTTTCATTAGTATTTTGCTTGCATGTGATATTAATGATGTTGTTGATTGCCTTCGAGTTGAGCATGACTCATAGTGACCCTATGAACAAAAGGCCTGAAGCCCTTCAACAACTATTGACATTTATCAAAGTTCCTAGAGTTTCCAGAGGCATGTTGTTTGGGGAGTGAATTTGATAATTTCTTCATTATATTGGATTATCTTTCTTGAGAATGGGAACAAATATTGATTTCTTCCACCAGACTTATAGGATAAGATAAGATAGACTGAGAAAGGATTGAAATTGTCAATGACTTCATCTTAGTCGGATCTATAATCAATACACTTGGTACTAGCAGTCAAGAGATCAGGAGACATTTTTCACTGGGAGAGTCTGCAGTCAGGGACAGCTCCAAATTATTAAGGGGTAATGATGTCAGTTTGAGGATCAAGATGCACCTGATACAGGATATAGTCTTTTTAGTGACATATTATGCATCTGAGAGCTGGATAAAGAATAAGAATAACAGAAGAATTGATATCTTTGAACTGTGGTGTTGGATAAGAGTGCTGAATAGCTCATGGGCCAACAAAAGAACAAAGAGATATGTCTTGAAGAAGATGTAGCCTGAGTGCTCACTCTTTGGAGGCAAAGATGATGAAGCTTTGTCTCACATCCTATGGGTATGCTGATAGGAAAGGTTATTTCTTGGAGAGGGACATCATTCTCAGGAAGGTGGAATAATTGTGAAAGAGAGGAAGACCCTCAACCAGGTGGGTTGACACTGACTGCAGCAAAGGGCTGGTGTGTGTGAAATTGTGAGGCAGGCACAGGAAAGGACAGTATTCAGATCAGTCATTCATAGGGTCTCTATGAGTTGTACTCGACAGCACCTCACAACAATAGCAACAGTATATGTTAACATAGGGCAAGTTGTTGGAGAGTCTTTCTTTGACCCTGATGCCACATTCTTCTTTGTAGAGTTCAGCTTCCTGAATGATTTTTTTTTTCTGTCAGGATAGAGATTGAATATTTTACAGAGACAGGATGCAACCCTGACACACTCCCTTCCTGATTTTAAACCACGTAGTGTTTCCCTTGCTCTTCTCAGACAAGAGCCTCTATATCTAGGTATAGCTATTCATGAGCATAATTAAGTGTTCTGGGGTACCCATTCTTCTCAATGCTACCCATAATTTGTTATGATCCAGACAGTCAAATGTCTTTGCACAGGCAATAAAGCATATACATTCTTTTGGTGTTCTTTGCTTTCAGCTGGGATCCATTTGACATTAGCAATGATAGCCCTTGTGGCACAGCCTCTTCTAAACCCAAGCAGAATTTCTGGTAGTTTTCTGTTAATGTACTGTTACAGTAATTTTTTTTATTATATTAAGCAATATTTTGTTTGTGTGCAATATTAGTGATGTTGTTTTTTAATTTCCATGTTTCTTTTTTGAGAATGGAAATAAATAAGGATCTTTTTCAGTCAATCAACCAGGTATCTGTCTTTCAAATTGCCTGGCACAGACCGATGCACACATCCAGTGCTGTGCCTGTTATTTGAAGTATGTCAATTTGTATCCTATCTATTCCTGGGACCTAAATTTTTGCCAATATCTTTAGTGCAGCTTGAACTTTTTCCTTCATAATCATTGACTCTTGAGCATAAGGTACTTCCTGACATATTTTGGTGTTGGTTAATTCTTTTTGGTACAGTGAGTCACTGTATTCCACTTGCTGCAGAAGATCAAAGACTACAGCCTTCAATATGGATTACAGATCAATGTCAAGAAAAAATAAATTCTCACTACTAGACTTATAGATAAAGAAAAGATAAAAACTGTTCACAATTTTATCTTGATTGAATCTACAGTCAACACACTTGGTACCAACAATAAAGAGATCAAGAGATGTATGGCATTGAGAAAGTCTGTAGTCAGGGGCCTCTCCAAATTACTGAGCAGCAACTCCGTCAATTTAACGACAAAGATGTGCCTGATTCAGGACTTAGTCTTTTCAATCACTTTCTTTGCATTTGAGAACTGGACAATGAATAAAGATGACAGAATAGCCCATGGACTGCCAAAAAATAACAAACATGTCTTGGAGAAAATACAGAGTGCTCCTTGGATGTAAAGATGATGAAGCTTAGTCACACATACTTTTGTCATGATTTTAGGAGAAGCTATGCCTTGGAAAGGGACAGATTGCTTGGACAGTAGACAGTTGGTAAGAGAGGAAGACCTCTAACCAGGTGGATTGACATGACTGCTACAATGGGCTCAAGTATTTCATAAGTGATGAGGATGGTACAGGAAAGGAAAGGGTTCTGATCTGTTGTTCACAGAGTCACTATGATTCAAATTTAACTCATGTCACCTAACAACAATGGCAACAACAATTGTTAACAAGTAGATGTTCAGGAAAAGAAAGGAAGGCCCTAAACAAGATATTTGGAAATTGTGACTGCAATAATGAACTTGGGTATAATAGAGTCATGAGGATGGTGCAGGATAGGACAAGGTATTCATATGTTGTTCACAGAGTAGGTATGAGTCACAGTCAGATCAATGATGCTTCATAATAACAATGTGTAAAACAGGATTTCTGAGTGATACAAACAGTTAAGACACTGACCTGTTAATGGAATCATTTGAATTTAGGTTCTACACAGAGGTGCCCTTGAAGAAGAGCCTGCTGCTCTAGTTCTGAAAAATCAGCTGTTGAAAATTCTATGAAGCTCACTTCTACTCTGATACACATAGAGCTGTTCTGAGTCAGAATTAATTCAGCAACAACTGTCTTACTGGGTTTTATGTCAAAACTTTTATTTACGTATTTTTTATTTTAATTTTCAAAGCTATAATGCAAATTATTAAATACTTTGCCTCCACAGTTCCTAAGATGAGAGTTGAGGTATAAAGCTGGTATATGTGCCCTTCCCACTCTATTTAGACCACAAATATCAGAGGCTGGTTGGTTGGTATGAGTGAAATTTATTAGAGGCCTCCTTGGAGGAGATATGATTTTAACTTAGGCACAAAACAGAGATAAAAACTAGACTCCCTCTGTTCTTTCATTTGTATGAATCTTGGACATTACAGATTCTTTGGGGAAATTACAAGTAAAATTTTGTTATTCTAAGGATACTTGTTAAATGTGTATTAATCACAAGGTACCATTCCAGGGTCTAGGGTTAAAGCAGAGACAAAATAGATGCAGTCTTGCTCTTAAGAATTGAGAAATCCTCTCCTGTTAGTACAGAAAAACTTAAAATCAAGACCCAAGTAAATGCATTTTATGTCACATGGTGAAAATTACAAAAGATAAAAAAATATGTAGTATGCAAAGGGGTTGCACTGCACCTCTCTGGCCGTTGAAAGCCACCAGCTCCTTCATGGAAGAAAAACAGATGATCTCCTCCCATGCAACTTATAGCCTCTGAAAACTGGAAAGTTAGCTATGTGTCAGTTGCGGCTCAACAGCTAGAAGTTGAGTTATCAGAAGTAGACCACATAGACTCTTTTTCCAGTCTGCCTTAGTCTTAGTTACACTAAAAGTTCTACTGAAAACTCTCCACCTTGATGACTCTGAAAGTATTTGAAATACCAGTGGCTAGTTTTCAGTATCATAGCAAACTGTAGGTCAATACAGTGTCACAAACTAACTTACAAATGGTGGAAAGTACAAGGTAATAAAAGACAATGATTTATAAAATAATTCAGTATAAAGATTATTTAAGTCGAAAGATAAAATATGTGCTTATTTGCAGGTTGGAAAAGTAGAGATGATGTTCCTAAACTAGTAAATGATTTCCTGAAAAAGAAATTTGACCTGGACCAGTTGATAACCCACAGGTTACCTTTTGAAAAAATCAATGAAGGATTTGAACTGCTTTATTCAGGACAAAGGTATCTATTTTGGTGATTTTGTTTTCCATGGTATTATCTCCTCCCTATAAGCTCCTTTTTGTAATAGTCATAAATATAAATATATCTATTTCAATCATATTTTTTCTGATTATTATATCTAACTCATTGAAATGGCTAATAATTTACTATTAATAGATTTAGTATGCCATTGTCTTATTTTAATTTTTTTATAAATCCTCTATGTCATCTTGAATTTTTAGCATTACCTTGAAGCTATTGTCTTGATCAAGTATTGCCATGAAATTCCCTTACAATTGCCAAGGCACTTTTTCAAATGTTCTTCTGATTTTTATAGGTCAAATAGTATTATTCCATTTTCAATGGTGCCATTTCAATATTTGCCATTTTTAATGACTAAGGTTCTTGAGAGGCAAATAAATAGCTTCATAGGTCCAGCACTAAGATACAAACTGAATGAGAAGTCTATATTCTCTCTCACTACCACACCCCAAACTCCTCTGAGTGTATGTGCAGGTAAGTATGGACATTCTTGCACACTCTTCTTGCCTCTGACGGTTGGCAAAAGTATCAATGGAATATGAAGAATTCAATTACATTTCGACTGCAATGTCTGCCTTATAATATCTGAAACAGCAAGCAAGGGACTTTTCATACATTAAGTCTATAAATACTTTTTTTAAGTATCCACCATAGATTTAGATTTCCTTAGCAAAGGGTATTTACAACTGTGAACTGTTGCGTTTGTTGTTTGATTAGGAAAGAAACACTATTGGTGCAATGACATCCTCACGATGGGTTTCAGATTACACCACAGTGGTCCATGATGTTTTTGCTTCTGAGTTCCAGACCACCAGACTTTTCTTTTTAGTCCTTTTTAGCCTTAGAAATGACACTGAAATTTGTACACCATTATCACTCATAGCAACCATCATTTGTTGGTTTAGTGTCAGAATTCACTCATAACTAACACTCCAGTGGGTTTTTAGGGGCTAAAAATTATATAGGAGGAGTTTGTCCATCTTTTTCCCATAGAGCAGCTAGTGGATTCAAACTACCTACCTTTATGTTGGCAGTTCAACTCCTTACATGCAAGGCCATCAGACTCATAGCAACCTGGTGAACCTCTGGTGATAGATTAATAATGTCTGTGAATGAACTAGGGATTGGATAAGAAATGAACCCAGGTATCCCAGAAAGAAAGCAACAGCTGTACTGCCAAACCACCACTGCCTCTTGGATATAATCTAAGGAGTCTAAGTTTCCACTAACATTTCTTCTAAGTGCTTTTTCAGTTGTCTTTCTCTGTGTACTGATCCTGACTGCTGATCCACTGTACTGATCTTGACTGCTGAACCACTGTACTCTGAACTTTTAAATTGTTTTCCAAGCAAGACAGTGATGAGTTAAACTGTCAGGACCATCCACTACACCTTTAATCAATTAAGTAAAACTAACAACTAAATAAAGATTGGGGAAAGACTCAAGCACAATTGGCATTAGAAGTGATATGAGGACTGGAGAAAGACTCATTAGCAACATGTAATTAGCTGATGACATAAATTTGCTTGCAGAAACAGAAGAGATCTAACTTGAAGCATTTACTGAAGATGATCAAAGAGTAGAGCCTTCAATATAGATTATAATTAAACATCAAGAAAACAGAATCCTTACAACTGAACCAATAGGGAATCTCAGAATAAATGGAGAAAAGATTGGACTTGTCAAGGATTTAATTGTATTTGAATACACAATACATACACTCATAGTAACAGCAGTGGAGAAATCATGATGTATTACAACAGGTAAATCTACTGCCAAGGACTTCTCCAATATGCTGACGGGCAAGGAAGTCGAGAAACACAACAATAAGCTTGGAAAGGGCAAAGATTATAAGCATGGCGCAGGACCAGAGAGGTTTTCAGTTTGTTAGATGGAGGTTTGCTATGAACCAGAATAAATATGGTGACTCCTAAGAACAATAACAACTTTATATATGTTGTAGTTGGAATAAAGTTACTAGTTGCTTTCCAAAGAAATAGAAATTTGGCTTTCATGGAATTTATTTCTTATATCCCTTCAAGGCAGTGACTTTCAATTTCCCTTTTATAATCCTGAGCACCTTAATTTCCATCTACTTCTTGCATGCCTTTACTTGAATGTACCACTTCCAATAATTTCACCCAAAATAATTCTTTCAACAATAACTTTTAAGTGGGAAAATAATCCCATATTGTCACATTTAGCTTTTCAACTCTCATCTACTACAGACAAGCTGAAGCTAAGCCCTGACAATGTGCCTTCTATGATCTCCCATCATATATTATTGCTGCCTTAATTCAATCTTTAATCATCTGTGACTCGGACACATTAACCTAGCAGCTTGATGATAGATCGCCTGTCTGTTGAATCAATCATTCACTTAAGCTGCCAAGACTCAAGTTTCCCTAAAAGGTCAATCTTTGAATGTTTTGGAAAGCTTCTACTATTGCACCACTGTGTTTTTATTACTAATTAATCTAATTCTTGAACAACTAATCATGTTGTCACATTCTATTCTAGCCTATCTGCTAGGCTCTGGGGATAAAGTGAGAGAAGCAGGGTCACATTTACTTTTATAACCTTCATCAAAATAGAAGCCCTAGTGGTATAGTAGTTGAATCCTTCTAATGTTATTGTTATGTGCCATCAAATTAGAACTTAGGACATTACCTCCATCCTGCAGAGTAGCTGGTGGACTCAAACTTTGTGCCTTTTGCTTGGTTGTACAGGTCCTTATCACTAGTCTGCCTTAAAGGATCCTAATGGCAATCAAAAAGTCTACAGTCCAAACTCATCAGCTACTCTGTAGGAATGAAATGAAGCAGTCTGCTTCCAGGAATATTTTACAGTCTTGGAAACCATATGAGTCAGTTCTATGTTTCATTACGAGACAAATATCTGAAAGTATGTCTGGTTTTGTGTTTTGGACACCAAGAGGAGTTCTTGCGTGATATGAATGGCTAATATGCCCAGTTTGCAGATTAAAAGGTGGTGGTGTTACAGCCATCAAGCCGAATCTTAATTGTGCTTGTCCAAATCCTATAATTGGATCAGGAAGCAATAGTGAGAACAGAGCAAGGAAACACTGCAATGGTTCAGGATCAGAAAAGGTATGTGTCAAGGACATATCCTATTTCCATACCTTTTCAATATATATGCAGAATAGATAATTCGGCAGGCTGGACTATATGAGGAAGAATATGGCATCTGGATTGGAGGAAGACTTATCAACAACCTGATTTATATAGAAGACACAATCTTGCTTGGCTGAAATTGAGGAGGATCTGATGCTTTTGCCACAGAAGGTCAAAAACTGTACTCTTCAGTATGGCTTGAAGCTCAACATCAAAAAAATGAATGTTCTCACCACTGGGCCAATTGACAGCTTCATGATAGATGTAGAAGAGACTGAGATTGTTAACAATTTCACCTTACTTAATTTCACAATCAATGCTCTTGGCATCAGCAGTTAAGAAAGGAGAAGACAAATTGCACTGGGAAAGTCCACTTTCAGGGACCTCTCTAGAGTACTGAAGAGCAATCATGGCTGTCTGGAGACAAAAGTGCACCTGAAATAAGCCATGGCCTTTACAATTACTTGATATGCATCAGAGAGCTGGACAACGACTAAGGACAATTGAAGAGTAACTCTTACTGATGAGTTGTGGTGCTGGAGAAGAGTGTTGAACATACTCAGGACAGCTAGGAGAATTAACAGGTCATTCAGAGACAAGGTGAAACTAAGCTACTCCCTGAAGGCAAGGATTTTGAAGCTCCATCTCACATACTTTGGACACATGGCCAGGAGGGACCAGTCCTTAGAGAAGAACAACATGCTTGGAAGGGTGGAGGAAGAGCACAAGAGAAGATTCAGGATGAGATGGATTGATTCCGTGACTGGAGAAGTGGGATTGGATCTGTCGGAGACAATGAGATTGACTCAGCATAGGGCAGATTTCAGAACTGTTCAGGTTGCTATGAGTAGCAAGTGACTCAATGACACACACCATCACCACCACCAACATGAATAGTAAATTTGAATCCTGTTCTACCCTGAATCATCCTCATCATCTCTGATATACTTGAGCCCATTGCTGCAGTCACTGTGTCTGTCAGTCTGACTGAGAGTCTTCCTTTCCTTCACTGACCCTCCATGTTTCCAAGGTTCATATCCCCCCCTTTTTTTAAGGCATAGCCACTCCTAGAAACATGCCCACAATATGTGAGACAAAGCTTGTAATCATTGCCTTCAAGAAGCACTCTGGCTGTACTTTTCCCAAGACATTTGTTTGCTCTTTTGGCAGTCCATGGGATATTCAGCACTCTTCCCCAATACCACAACTGAAAGGCATTGATTGTTTTTCTGTCATTCTTATTCGTTATCCAGCACTCAAATGCATAGAAGGTAACTAGAAAGACTATGGCTTCAATCAGGTGCACCTTGGTCTTTAAACTGACTTTATTACTCTTCAGGACTTTGGAGAGTCCCCTGATAGTTGATTTTTCCAAAGCAGTGCATCTCCTGATCTGCTGACTGCTTGAAAGCAACAGTATTAACTGTGGATCTAAGTAAGATGAAATCACCGAGAATTTTAATCTCTTCTCCATCTAGCATGATTTTTATTATTGGCCCAGTGATCAAGATTTTTGTTTGCTTAATTTGCTTAATGCAGTTTGTATTAAGGGCTGTAATCCTTGATCTTCTTCAGCAAGCGACTCAAGTCCTCCTCACTTTCAGCAAGCCAAGTTTTGTCATCTGCGTAACGCAGATTGTTGATGAGTCTCCCTCCAGTCCTGATGCCATGTTCTTTATGAAGTACAGTTTGTACTTCATAGGATTTGCTCAGCATACAGATTGAATATATAGGGAGGAAAGATACAACCATTATGCACAATGTTCTCAATTTTAAATCATGCAGTGTTCCTTTCTTCTGTTTGGGAAACAGCTTCTTAGTCTAGGTATAGGTTTTCTTATAAGCATAATTAAGTGTTCTGGAATTCCCATTCCTCTCAATGTTAGCCACAGTTTGTTATGATCCACATCTACTCAGATGTGTCTCAGAGGAAAAATCTGGTGACCTACTCTGTGAAAATCAGTCACTCAAAATTTATGGGCACAATTCTACTCTTACACACATAGGATCACTTATGAGTCAGTTGCCACTTGACAGAAACTGCTTTTAACTAGTTTCTTCACATCTTCTTAGCCGTGTTAATCCTTTCTCTTCAGCGTGAACATCATTTTTACTTTGCTGGTCTTTTGAAGTTATTTTAATGTGTCAAGAATCACCTGAAATATCTTTTTGAGAGATGTGTCAGTAGTTAACCGAAATACCTTCCCAAGAAATTCACAAAAAGAATGCTAATATTGCTAAGGACCTCAAGGTTCAGAAAGTTTACCAATAACAGGACTTACTTGACATTTCCTATAGTTAATGGGAGGGAAATTAGCTTAAAAAGTTTTGTTTGGAGGATATAGAAACAAATCACTAAAATCCTTCATGTTCTTTTTCAGCATTCGTACTGTCTTGACGTTTTAAGATCCTAAGCGGCAAGAGATCTGTGCTGTGGAACCACTAGGTGGAGCATCTGTTTCACAGTTTCCTCCTGTGAGTCTGGCTTGTCAGCTCTGTTTCTGAAAAACAAGGCCGTAATGGGTTTTGGTGTTTATGAAACAGGTATCTGGGAATTAGCCAGAAGCTTGAGTAACCAATATTAAAATTTACAAGTCACATTTTCTATGACTGCAATGATAACATTTAAAAAAATATACACATGGATATTTAAGTGGAAGTGAAAATATTTCAAAGTTTGGACAAGTTATTATAGTCTCTTTATGCATGACCTGTAACACATTGCAGTTAATTTTTTTATTCAAATGAAAATCCTTTTAAAAGATTTTTTGCTATAAATTAAGAAATTCTGGTGCTTAACATATCCTGATGGGCCACTAACAGAAAGATTGGTGCCTTGAACCCATGAATTGCTTCTTGGCCAAAAAATGGACAATCTCCTCTTGCGAAGATTTACCACCTCCAGACCCTGATGGAGGGTGGCAAGGAGTCGGTCTTCACTTGATAGCAATAGATTTTGTTTTTTTTTATAAATGAATTTAGATCAGATTTAAAATCATCTCATGTAATCCCAATAATAAAATTTTCAAAGAAATAGAGAGAAATCATCATGATGTAACATGGTGAAACAAAAAAGTATACTATAAGACTGCAAGAGGATATTAGCTAATATTTTTCAGAAAATAAAGCATTTTACAATTCTACTTGAAAAAATAAAACTAGAATCATACTGTCATTTCTATAATGTTCAGTTTGATATAATAGAATTTACTTGTCTTTGAATGTCTGTTTACTTAGTAATGACTAGCAAAAAGGTCTTTTATTTGTTACAATTGTCCTTGCGTATATATCTATTTCTCTGTCCACCTATATATCAAAATGTGATGACATATTAAAAATTCCTAATAAAATTTAAATATTTGATAAAATATTTTTGTAATTGATTTTGTGTGAGGAGTACAACTGTTTGTTTTCATTTTGTATCATTTTATGAAAATGTAAGACATTGCTTAAAATACAAAATAATAAATATTAACATAATGAATTCTCATGCAAAGAGCACACTTATGTAACCATCACCCAGCAACAATAAAAAACAATAAAAGTACCTAAGTAGTCCCACTTGTAAACCTGCCCAACCACTTCCTCCTTGTTATCTCTTCAAGTTAACAAATACTTGAGTTTCTAATATCACATATTACTTTTGTGTATGGAAATGAACTGATGTTGACAATTTTTAGTAAGATATTGGCAATGAGAAATTGAAGAGAAGCTTTATTTGTTTATAGAAAAAAATGTTGAAGCATCTGGAAAGCACATGAACTACTTTCTTTTAAAAATAAGATTATATAAAGCTATAGTTCTAGTTTACAATACAGTTTAATTGCAATACAATGAATATATCCACAAAAAAACCCCTATTTACCCTCTCAGGTCACATTTTTTGACATAAACTCCAATTTATATTTGGGCCTTCCTATAGAATGTTGTTGTTAGGCGCAGAAGAGTTGAGTGCAATTCACAGTGAACCTATGACCAACAGATCTGAAACCTGTCCTATCCTGTGCCATTTTCACAATCAAGTGCACTGTTGCAGTCACTGTGTCAACTCATCTGGTTGAGAGTCCTCCTCTCTTTCACCATCCATCCACCTTTCCAAGTATAATGTCCTCCTTCAAGGAATGGCCTCTCTTAGCAACATGCCCAGAGTATGTGAAATGAAGCTTTATCATCTTTACCTCCAAGAAGCACTCTGGCTACACCTTTTCCAAGACATATCTGTTTGTTGTTTTCACGGCCTGTGGGATATTCAGTACTCTTCACCAACTTCACAGCTCAGCTTTCAGATGCATAACAAGTAATTGAAAAGTTGTTGTTGTTGTTGTTATGTGCCATCAAGTCGTTTCCAACTCATAGCGACCCTATGTACAACAGCTCTAAACCTTGCTCTATCCTGCGCCAACCACACCGCCTCTGACACACCCATCCCGATTACCCCAGTCACTGAATCAATCCATCTCATAGAGGGTCTTCCCCTCCTGCGCTGTCCCTCCACCCTCCCAAGCATGATGTCCCTCTCCAAGGACCCGTCCCTCCTGGCAACATGTCCAAAGTATGTCAGACGAAGCCCCAGAATCCTTGCCTTGGTTTAATCCTCTCCAAGATGAATCTGTTTGTTTTCCTGGCAGTCCAGGGTACATTCAGTACCCTTCTCCAGCACCACAGCTCAAAAGCATCCACTCTCCTTCTGTCCTCCCTAGTCATTGTCCAACTCTCTGATGCATAACAAGCGATTGCAAATACCATGACCTGTATCAGGCGCACCTTAGTCTCCAGAGGGACACTGTTGCTCCTGAGTATGTTTGAGAGGTCCCTAACGGCAGACTTTCCCATCGCGATACGCTTTTTGATTTCCTGACTGCTGGTACCAAGAGTGTTGACTGTGGAGCCGAGCAAAGTGAAGCTGTGAACACTCTCAATCTCTTCATCATCCATCCTGATGCTGCCAATTGGTCCAGTGGCGAGAATCTTTGTCTTCTTGACGTTGAGCCTTAGTCCATACTGAAGGCTGCAGTCCTTGACCCTTCGCAGCAAGTGCATGAGGTCCTCCTCAGTTTCAGCAAGCAAGGTTGTGTCATCTGCATAATGGAGATTGTTGATAGATCTTCCACCAATCCTGATGCCACAATTCTCCTCATAGAGCCCAGCCTCTCGGATAATCTGCTCTGCATACATGTTGAAAAGGTATGGAGACAGGATGCATCCCTGGCGTACACCCTTCCCTATTTTGAACCATGCAGTGTTACCCTGCTCTGTTCTGACTACTGCCTCTTGGTCCAAGTATAGGTTTCCTATTAGCACAATTAAATGTTCTGGGATTCCCATTCTCTCAGAGTCAGACACAGTTTGTTATGATCCACACAGTCAAATGCCTTTGCATAATCAATGAAACACAGATAGACATTCTTCTGGTATTCCCTGCTTTCAGCCAAGATCCATCTAACATCAGCAACGATATCCCTAGTACCACGACCCCTTCTAAACCCAGCCTGGACTTCCGGCAGTTCTCTGCTGATGTGCTGTTCTAATCGTTTTTGGATGATCTTCAGCAGAATCTTGCTTGCAAATCTTATTTTTAAACTATCATTGCTTCAAAATAATTGCAGACTTTGCCAATGCAATATATGTTTTGAATACCTGACTGTTGATGTCAAGTGTATTGATTATGGATCTAAGTAAGATGAAGTTGTTAGCAGTTTCAAGTTTTTCTCTATAATGATATTGCTTATTAGTCTAGTAGTGAGAATTTTTATTTCTTTACATTAGGAGTCAATTAATATTGAACACTGTAGTGTTTTCTCTTCTGCAGTAAGTGCTTCAAGTTCATCTCACTTTCAGCAAAGAAGGTTGTGTCATCTGCATAATGGAGGTTATTGATTAATCATTCTCCAACTCTGATGCCACGTTCTTCTTCATAGAGTTCACTTTCTTCAATAATTTTCTCAACATACAGGTTGAATAGGTATAGAGAAAAGATACAATCTTTATGTACACTTTTAAAAATTTTAAACCATGTTGTATCCCCTTGCTCTGTTTGCACAATAGCCTCTTGGTCTAGGTATAGGTTTTGCATGAGCACAATGTAAGTATTCTGGAATTCCCATTTGTCTCAATGTTAGCCACAATTTTTTTCTGATCCACACAGTGAAATGCCTCTGTATAGTCAACAAACACAAATAGACATTTTTTAATATTCTTTGCTTTCAGCTAGGATCCATCTAACATGAGCATTGCCAGCCCTGGTGCCACAATCTCTTCTAAATCCAGATTGAACAGGAAGTTCTCTATTTACTCTTCTAGCCATTTTTGAATGATCTACAGCAGTATTTTGCTTTCCTGTGATATTGTTTGATAATTTCTACATTCTGATTGTTCACCTTTTTTAGGATAGGGAACAAATATAGACCTCTTCCAGTCTGTCAAACTGGTAGCTCTCATCCAAATTTCCTAGCATGAACTGGTGAGCACATACAGAGCTGCATCTCTCAGTTAAAACATACCAATTGATATCCCACCAATTCCTGGAGTCTTATTTTTTGCCAATGCTTTACATGCAGCTTGAACCTTTTCCTTCATTATCATTGGCTCTTGATCATATGGAGTAGGATTTTACAAATAAGTGACATACATGATGATTTTTATATGTTTGGTATCACAATGACTTGAAATCAACTTGAGGACAAAGGAATTGACATTTTTGGGGGGGAAGCAAGTGTATTTACTATAATTTTTTTTTGGAGGGGAAAAAGCATCACTTCTTGGTCAAAAAGTGAACAGAAAGCTTTTTTTACTACTTTCCCAGGAAAACCTACATACAATCCACTTTCAGAATCATCAGAAAATCCAAGTTTTAAGGGAAGTTCAGAAACTGTTCGTGCTTGTGTATATCTCATTTCTAGTCAGTGAATCTATTAAACAAAGTCAAACTGTATTCTTATTACTGGACAAAAGAGGTTCTTTCTTTAGTAAATTGCCAATAAAACAGAGGGATTGCAATATACTAAACAAGTTATTGCAAATCTGGGAGAGCAGTGAGAATCATCTCAAAACTGCCTCTCATCTGAGAGTGAGCGTTAGTTTGGTTTTTTTTTTTTTTAAATGAGTACAGGGTAATTTACTGATGGTACATGAAAAGATGGGCTCTCTAACTATCCAAAGGGATAACCCACAGTCTTCTGGATATCATTGATGGCATGGACTGTGGTCATGAGTCCAAAGTTGTCATGGGTGATCTTGGCCAGAGAGACCAAACAGTTGGTGGTGCAGGATGAGTTGTTGACAATCTTGAGAAAGTTGTCATACTTTTCACGATTCTCACCCATCACAAACATGGGGGGCATTGGCAGAAGGAGCAGAGATTTGGTACCACCCTTGAAGTGAGTCTCAGCCTTCTCTGAGGTTGTAAA